CGGAGGTACTGGGTCTTCGGAGGCCCGAAACGTGCCAGAGGGCCCAAAATAAGTCTTCCAATTGCGCCGGGCTGAAGCGGGCCGGTTGGCTTATTGGGGTCGAGAAGGGCTGCTCCGGTTGCTTCTCGGCGGCTGTGACTGCTCCCGTGGAGAGCGCAACATCAAGCAGGTCTTGCTGCGGGTTCGTCAGGAAATTCGCCTGACTGTTCTCACCGGAGACGGGTTTTTCGAGTTGTCTAATTTCAGAGAGGGGACCTGGAACAGAAAGGCGATGGAAATAACGATAAAACAAAGAGGTGTGGGGAAGGTAAAAAGGCCACCAAAAGGGGCAGCAGTAGATAGGACTCGCAGTTTCTCGAACCCAATCGAGCGGTAGCACTTTTTTACGGACGTCTCTCGCACACACCTCGTAATGAAAAACGGACAAGCAAGCTATAGCACCTAACAAAGTAAACACCATTGACTCCGTCAGAAAATGGGCTGTCGTTTGGTCATTTGGGTGTATTTAAGAGGAGAATAAGGACTAAGTTGGATCTATCAGTGCTCGTTGAGGGAATAAAAAGTTACGAACTGTTTTATTGCCCAAAACATCCAATAGGCAAGAATAGCTGCTTCCAATTTCTTAATCATTATAAATCTTTATCATAGCAAGCTTCCGTCTCTATGGTAGGAGAAGGGCTTAACGCATGTTGGGATCGCGCATACACGAACGGTAACTGTTTGTGCGACGGGTGACGAGTTAGCACAAATAGCTCTCCACACATATGAAAGGGGCCGTCAAGATAATCACCCACACCAGAAGAAGGACCAGCAGCGAATTGACTGAAGACGGAGCCTCGGAGGGGAACTCGATTAATCAATGTGGTGCCAACGTACAGAGGCCTGCGCAGCCAGCTGCAAACTTGAGTCATTGACCATTGATTGGCTTTTACCCCTTATAAGTGAAGTTTTTTTTGTTGTTACTAACTCTGCCGATAAACTCCTGCACGAATTCGAAAGCTTAGGAGACTAGACAAATTGTTGCGGTGCAAACAACCACTCTCCTTCTTTACTCCTACAAACACCTGGAACTCGGACATTCGCAGTCATAAAGGACACTTTCAATTGGCTACAGACATAACGGTTGTCAGAGATCCAACCGATAGTTGAGTCATTAGGCACCTGCTACGCAGGCGTAGGACCCTCAAGCTTCCTGTTAAGGAAAACAAATCAAACGAAAGACTAGAGCCTACTTAAGCGCATGCCATTTTAGAGGAAATTGGGGTCTGTCAAACCTGTAATAGACTATGCACAAGTACTGAGAAGACAGGTTTTGGAAAGGCCCCTGATTCACCTCAACCTACCTTCTATGTCTCCAGAACGCAGCTGTTGAGCTAAGACATCGAACTTCGACCTTAAAAGGGGCAAACAGAAACATTTTTGAAACATTGGGTGAATGAGTGAGCGAGCTAGTGAAACAGAAAATATATTGAGGACACTTACCTTTCCCATGACGCGAATAATCCGAGGGAGTGGGCCTGTAAGTAAATTTAAACACATTTGTACATTCCAAAGGACAGTGCCAAATGGTTTGTAAGAATGTCTAACGTGGCTGAAGTATGTTTATCGTGAGGATGGAGTTTTTTTGGGTAAGTTACTTAGTCTTACGAGATGGAAACTATTTAAAGGTAAGGAATCTGCAACCCAAACCACCAAAACGCAAAACCATGGCAACTTCATCCTTTTTAAAGATTCAGTTGTGGATAAAACATTATAAAGCAGGTGTGGGAAAGAACTATCACCAGTGCGAAAACAGTGACTCGTTTACCGAGGGCAGGCCTTTGCTTAGGAGCTCTCTTCTGACGTTGTCCAAGTTCGCTACTGGTATGCACTGAAAGGCGAAAAATTACCAACGATAGAAACAGGGACAATAATAATAATAATAATAATAATA